AAAAAATTAAATCCATTTCCTATTTTTTTAAACAACTCTAAAGCTTCAAAACCCGAATTTTCAAATACCGATACGAAACCTCTAAGTTTTTATATAGGAGAAGAATAAATTGCAATTGAACGAAATTGGAAAGTGAGAAAAAGGAAAAGAGGGTCGATTTGATTAACGGATTAGGCGTTTCTTATTCCTATATTATTGTCGAGGAGGGAGGGGATCGTTCGAAATAAATGGGATATCGCTTTAATGAATTTCGAGTGGGGGAGGAACGTCAGGAGGCGTCATCCCCGAGAGCGCAGAAGGCGGCCGGCCTGGGATTAAGTGGAGCAATCTGCGGCATTTTTTTTCCCGCAAACGACCAGATTTTTATGCCTAATTAATCGCCGCGTGGAGATCCTTAGGGGCGGATCCACGGGATTATCGAGGGGGAGGGGGGGAGGGGGCAGGATTCGCGCCGATACGGCACGTCTTTGAGCCGTGCGGGGGCGGCGCGGTGATTTGTGGCGCGCGATTACCTCAACAACCGATGCGACCCCGACTCTTAATTAGATCTCGTAGAAAGTCTCGCATTAAACGGCCGACATAAGGGATCCGATATTATTAATTCCGATTTCTCGAGATCGAAGGCTCTCGCGCTGTTCAAGGCGCGAGAACGAGGCGGCGCATCTCGAGGATTCAACGAACGTTGGATAAAAAGGGGGATGGTGTTAATTTCGCGCTTAGATGAACAGTGCACAATATTACACAGTGGATAATATTCGCACGGGTATATAAGATATTTTTATATGGGAAGAGAAGCGTCTTTATTTCATTATAATCTCGAAGTTTTGGAAGTAGTCTATACGAAGCAGTGTTTTGTAGATTTGTAGTAGATTGCCGCTAGATGTCTCTGCGTATTGAAACTTAATATTAGGGTGGAAGGAGACACGCGTTCACGAGATACGTATTATGACGCAATTCGAAAAATGGAGTGAAATTTGTCGGCGTGATACAAGAAAAATAATTCAGGATGATTGTAGCTAGATAGTCATTAATATTATTCTATATATTGAAACTTAATATTAGAGTATAGGAGACATGTGTATTATCGATGACATTATTCAGATAATTTGAAAAATGGAATAAAATTTGTTCGGCGTGATACAAGAAAAATAAACGTAATTCAAAATGATTATTATCTACTAGAAGATATTTATTTATATATATTATTTATATATTATATTATTATATATTATATGTTATATATTATTATGGCGCAATTTGAAAAATGGAATACAATTTATTGGTGTGATAAAAGAAAAATAATTCAGGATGATTATCGCTAGATGTCTCTGCACATTGAAACTAATATTAGAGTATAGGAGACATATGTATTATTAATGGCACAATTCGAAAAATATTAGAGTAGGAGCTATATATATATTCAAATAATATATATATATTCAAATAATTTGAAAAATAGAATAAAATTTGTTGGCGTGATATAAGAAAAATAATTCAAAGTGATTATCACTAGAAGATTAGATTAGACTTATTATGGCAATTCGAAAAATGGAATACAATTTATTGGCATAATAAAAAAAAATAATTCAGGATAATTATCACTAGATGTCTCTGCACATTGAAATTAATATTAGAGTACAGGAGATATGTATTATTAATTCGAAAAATTCGAAGAGTAAAATTATATATGTATTATAGATGTAGGAGCTATATATTCAAATAATATATTCAAATAATATATTCAAATAATATATATATTCAAATAATTTGAAAAATAGAATAAAATTTGTTGTCGTGATACAAGAAAAATAATTCAAAATGATATCACTAGAAGATACTTATTATGGCACAATTCGAAAAATGGAATACAATTTATTGGCGTGATAAAAGAAAAATAATTCAGGATGATTATCTAGATGTCTCTGCATATTAAAATTATTATGGCACAATTCGAAAAATAAAATAAAATTTATTGGCATGATACAAGAAAAATAATTCAAGATAATTATCACTAGATGTCTCTACACATTGAAACTAATATTAGAGTACAGGAGACATATGTATTATTAATGGCACAATTCGAAAAATGGAATAAAATTTATTATAAATGTTTCTATATATTGAAACTAATATTAAAGTAGGAGCTATATATAATGACACTATTCAAATAATTTGAAAAATAGAATAAAATTTATTGGTGTGATACAAGAAAAATAATTTAAAGTGATTATCACTAGAAGATACTTATTGTGGCACAATTTGAAAAATAAAATAAAATTTATTGGCGTGATACAAGAAAAATAATTCAAGATAATTATCGCTAGATGTCTCTGGATATTGAAACTAATATTAGAATATAGAAGACATATGTATTATGGATGGCACAATTCGAAAAATGGAGTAAAATTTGTTGGCGTGATAAAAGAAAAATAATTCAGGATGATTATCGCTACATGTCTCTATACATTGAAACTATTAATTAGAATAATTAGAATATAACTTTTTAATAGAATAGATTTAATAGATAAGATTTAATAGAATAGAATTAACTAGAATATAGGAGCCATATGAAATATTATGACACAATTCGAAAACGAGTGAATAAAATTTATCGATACAAGAAAAATAAACGTAATTCAGAATAATTATCACTAAAAAATTACTTATTATAACACAATTCGAAAAATAAAATGAAATTTATTAAAATTTGAAAAATAAATAAACGTAAGAGGGTTCAATTTTCGATTCCGATTTGTCCCGAACAATATCCTAAAGAAGATCGGAAGAGCAGTATCTCTCCACTGGTAACCTTCTAGTGGCCACCAGATTAGACTAGTTCGGCTTGTAACGCACGATTTTGACGGCGTGGAAGAAGAAACTGCAGGAGCACCGAAAGTTTATCCGCCAAGTTTCGAGTGCAGAGCCGGTTGATTTATCGGGCTCATTACTGCCAGGGAAGAGGGAGGGCTACACAGGCAACAGCCACCCCAGCGGCGTGTTTTACAAGACGGCATTAATTGCTCGAATTAAATATGCACCTCTCTCCGTGCCGTAATTTATTTCGGTTTCCTTAAGCACTTTAAGTCGTCGGCCGCACCACCATCGCCGACGCTTTCCACGGACGTTAATAATGGCCCCGTAGGATATTAATTGACGCTGCTCCCGTAAAAAGCTCCCGCTCCACGCTTTAATCCTCACCGCGGATCCCCGACCCACCCCCACCGATTTTTATTTTCCAGATTAGATCGCCCACAATACAAAGGGAGACCCTGTTTTTTTTCCTTTTCCTCTCTCTCTCTCTCTCTTTCTCTCTCTTTCCATCCAATAAATTTTTATCGTTCATCGATTTTTCGACGATAAACATCTCTATTAACCCTTTGCACTCCAGACCCGCGTTCGATGGCCTCATGAGATTACCATAAGATAATTTTTACGATTTTTCAATGACAAATATCTCTTTCGAGAATATTATCAATTATTAATTAAATGATTGTATATTATTAATTATTAATATTATCAATTATTAATTAATTATTTTGAGAATATTATTAATCCTTTAACTCCAGATTCAGACCCACGCTCGATGTCCTCATAAGATTACCATAATTTTTAATTAATTTTCAATGACAAATATCTCTTTCGAGAATATTATCAATTATTAATTAAATGATTGTATATTATTAATTATTAATATTAATATTAATATTTATATTTAACATTAATATTAATATTAATATTATTAATTATTAATATTATCAATTATTAATTAATTCTTTCGAGAATATTATTAACCCTTTAACTCCAGATTCAGACCCACGCTCGATGTCCTCATAAGATTACCATAATTTTTAATTAATTTTCAATGACAAATATCTCTTTCGAGAATATTATCAATTATTAATTAAATGATTGTATATTATTAATTATTAATATTAATATTAATATTTATATTTAATATTAATATTAATATTAATATTTATATTTAATATTAATATTAATATTAATATTTATATTTAATATTAATATTAATATTAATATTTATATTTAATATTAATATTAATATTAATATTATTAATTATTAATATTATCAATTATTAATTAATTATTTCGAGAATATTATTAATCCTTTAACTCCAGATTCAGACCCGCGTTCGATGGCCTCATGAGATTACCATAAGATAATTTTTACGATTTTTCAATGATAAATATGATTATATATTAAAAATGATTATATATTATTAATTATTAATATTATCAATTATTAATTAATTCTTTCAAGAATATTATTAACCCTTTAACTCCATATTCAGATCTGCGTTCGATGGCCTCATGAGATTACCATAAGATAATTTTTATGATTTTTCAATGACAAATATCTTTTTCGAGAATATTATTAAATATTAATTAAATGACACGCGATCTTTCAAAAATATTATTAAAATTCCAGATTCATCCGCGTTCGATGGCCTCATGAGATTACCATAAGATAATTTTTACGATTTTTCAATGACAAATATCTCTTTCGAGAATATTATCAATTATTAATTAAATGATTGGCTTCTTTCGAGAATATTATTAACCCTTTAACTCCAGATTCAGACCCGCGTTCGATGGCCTCATGAGATTACCATAAGATAATTTTTACGATTTTTCAATGATAAATATCTCTTTCGAGAAATTAATTAAGTTAATAATTAAAAGTTATTAATTATTAATTAAATGATTGGCTTCTTTCGAGAATATTATTAATTCTTTGCATTCAAACCCGCGTTCGATGAAATTACCATAAGATAATTATTAATAAAACTCATAAAATGAGATTACACCTCATAAAATAATACTCATAAAATAAGATTAGACGTAAAGAGCTTAGAAATCTATTTATGAAGCTATTCTAAAAGAATCAAAGGTAAATGAATATTGTCAAGTTGGGGAGCGAATGACACGATTGCATAAGTAATTTTTACAAAGCAGAAAATTATTAGGTTTAATTATTTCAGAAACGCGTTGGACGAGGAGCAGCGTGCCCAGAAAGCCCTCTACCTATTGCAAGCGCGGGACCGTCGGATCGCTTTGCTCGAGAAACGCGTAGCCGAGTTGGAGGACGCTGCGACGAATCTTCACGAGCTCACCCTGCGAAACTCGTCGAGGGGCTCGATGCTGGAGCTCGACTCGACCAGCGAGAAGGTGAGAAGTTACAACGAGGCCTCGTGCAAGAGCGAGTGCTATTTCGACGACGTTAATTCGACGGGGCGGGGCGAGAATGCGATGAGAGGAGGATCGCGGGAGGATCGCGATGACCCCGGGCGTGTCTCGGTTCCGTGCCTGGATCTGTCGAAATCGTCCGAGTCGGCGTCCGACATATTCTCGACCGCCATCGATTTCGTGATGGAGAAGAGGAAGTGTTTCGCCTCGAACACCTCGTTCTCCATGGAGGAAGAGGTCACAGAGCGGGAGGAATTCAACGATGGGGAGAATCTGGGGAACTCGAAGAGCGAGATAAAGATGGCGGGCGCGGGGAGCGGCAGCAACGTGGAGAGCGGCTCGGGGAGGAAGGAAGATTCGGTCGGGGGGGGGAACAGGGGCGATTTCGCTTGTGAGAATAAGAATAAGAAGAAGAATTGCGTGGGTATGAGGAGCGAGGAGAAGGTTCGCGGCGCTTCGTGCAACAAGTATCAGAGATCGAATTTTCCGAGGTTGACGTCAAGCGTGCCGTGGATAAGGGCGAAGCACAGCTTCCGCAAGAAGCTGCGCGGCTACGAGCTGAAAACCGGGAAACGGATCAAGGACGTGTGTTACGGGGACGGCCATCTCGCTTTCGCCGCGTTTCAGTGAGTGAAATTCATTTCTCTTTAACTAATATAACATATATATATGTGTGTGTGTGTGTGTGATATTACTTGTATTAGAGCCAAAGCAAGAGCCAAGACTCTTCGCTCGATACCTTATCACTCGGTATAATAATTAAATTATGCATATGAATGAAGAATTAACGAGAAAACGATATATATATACTTTTAAAAAATTTTTACCATCGCTATTATCTTATCGATACGTTATTACGATAATTAAATTATGCATAACGGAATTAACGAGAAAACGATATATATATATATTTTAAAAAATTTTTTACCATCACTATTATGTTATCGATACGTTATTACGATAATTAAATTATGCATAAAAATTAACGAGAGAACGATACGAATTCTTTGTCTCGAATTTTTATTATTTCCATAAAGATCGAGCGAATACGAGGTTCGAATCGTCCATCAAGAGGTTGCGAAACACTGATCGATCGGGTAAGGCACTCTGTAGGAGAGTCTTGCCTACCTGGTGGTATAGGCGCACGTAGCGACCGATTTTTTCCCTTACGGGCGCTTGGTCCGCTCCTAGACACGAAAATGCATGTAATTAGCTTGAAATTGATGTTGAACGCGAGCACGGCCGCAATTTTAATCGGCTGTCGTATGATAATTACGCGAGACGAGCGGCCACCCCTCGACCCACGCCGGATAAATCATCTCTCTCTCTTGACTCGGCGAGCTCGCGCCATCGAAAGCCCCGCAACGATTCCCAGGTATTCATTTACTTCGTATTAATCAATGCGTAAAATTGATTACGGCCAGTCGAACCTCGTAACGAGGCTCGCCTCCTGCTCGACCAGCGGGAAACGCTGGTTGGGAAAAAGGGAACCGATCCTCTTCCATCGCGGGAATCGCGGTGATATATCGACGTTTCGACGAGAGATCGAATTTTGGCAAGTTTTCGTGGACGATAGAATCTCAATTTCGAGAACGATTCGAGAGCTTTTAAAACCATTGCGTCGAGTGAAACGTTTTATAATTATTCTTTGGAAAATGAGTGTGATATAATTTCAATTGATGCGTCATTACAAGTGGATTTTATCTTTATCTAGCGCGAATTATATATATTATATATTTGGAATAATTGGAATTTCACATAAATGGATTCAATCGATAATTAAGATCCTAAATCGTATTTTTGTTGTACATTAGAATACGTGAATATGCGATTCGGAATGATAGAAAATGTAAAAATTCGATATAAGCAATTTATAATCGCATATAATAAAACGAAGCTTATTCTGTATTTATATCGATCAAAGTATGAAAGTTTCCTTGGGATAGTCCCAAGAGTTAAATAAAAGACCGTGCACTTTCGATAGAGAGAACGCTATTGGATCGGTCGTTAAAAGCGAAACGACGCGATCGACGGAACGAGAGAGCCGCTCGTATTTTTGCACCAGCTGTGAACGAGTGTCGCAACGAAGGGAACGAAGCTGATCGTCGTCACGACTCGACAAAGAGACGCTCCTTAAATCGTAGAGCAACTCGCGATCCGATGTACGATACACGGAGGCCGAGCGGTGGAACGGGGATCGAAAGCCCGTAGAATCGTGAACGGTGACGAAACCACTGTGTTTCGGACGCGTCGTGACAGACAATTATTCGACGACCTTTGACATTGGCCGTTCCGCCGTTGTCGATCTAAGAATCCCGCTCGGGAGAGCAAGGGTTAAGTAATTGTCGAAGATCCCTGTGACAACGTTGCGACAGAGGAGCACGGCTCGTTTCTCGATGAGGTTTCTAGGTAAAAGTAATCGACTTCGATTTAGGAGAAATTGTTGGTCGAATATCGATCGTAGGAAACAATCCAGTAACGTAATCTAACTTTCGTAATACACGTAATAGCTTTAAAGAAATTTCCACAAAACGATATAAAATTAACCGAAGAAACTTGTATCTCTCATCGAATCGAATAACTCGATGAAAATTGAAGAAAATTTTTCTAAAAAATCACATTCGATAGTGATCCATCTTTTATCTAACAATATCGTCTTCGAAGCGTATAGATAACATCTTCATAACGTATTTATTAAATTGTATGCGACGATTTAGTCACAAATTAACCAGAAGACCGGTCCTCTTAATTATTATCTCTCGAATATTTTATGCGCATTTTCGTTCGGTGTATCTTTACAGAACAAGCGTGTGGTACGTGTGCGCACATGCGCTCGCGCATGCGTCCATGTACCAGAATCGGTAATATCAACGTTATCGCGAACCTCGAAATTAATCCTTGGTCGGGACGAAATTCGGCCGGTCGGTCGAGTTTCAAGCATCGTACGCTTAATTGACGACGCTCGTTCCCTCGGCCCGGGGAAACGATATTATGAAAATGCTCGCGAACGTCCGCGAGAGAGGAGAGACGAACGAAGCAAGCGAACCGGGTCGTTTGCGTAATTTGTTATTGCGTACGCGAAACCGTCGGTATATGGAATTAACGAGCGGGCCCATTAAATTTAACGACCGTTGACTCGGACGTCCACGTGGATGGTCGCCGCTCGGTTGGCTCGATCCTCGGAACGGGATGATGCTTGTGTTTCGATGGAGATACGAACTGCAAGATTGGTTTCATCTCGTTTTTTAATGCAGAAACTTCGTTTTAATTATTGCTATTTAATTCTCCATACTAGATCTAATTCGATTCGACTTAAATAAGTTTGGTATCTTATTGATTTTTACATAAAGTAACTCGTATTACACTGATCTCCGTATAATTATTAAACCTTTACAAAGAAAAATAGGAAATTTCGATCGGATATTTTTCATATTTCATATTTTATTCGTACTTTTTTAGATTTTATCATTTCATATTGGTCAATTTACGTTACCCTACGAGTACATCATTAACGATACAAAACAAAATGGTGGTAACAAAATTACATACAATATTACGCAACAACAAATTGAACGAATATCACGAATCGCGTATGATGGTGAACAATGGTTAAAGACTCGTTCGAGATCTGTCACCTCCACGGAAACTCTTGTCGAGAGGCGGGTTTTCGATCAGCGCATTGTTATCTCTTCTCTCGAATCTGAGAATCGAAGCGCACGAACGCGGTGGCACCTGAGCTGACAGCTCAGCTGGTGACTTTAATTGGAAGTTCGGCAGCTCGGGCGAAAGAAACGCGAAACGTGCGCGGAGTGAAGATGCCGAACGACGTCGCGGCTATCACACTGGATGCCCCGTTACCTTTGTCACTGGCCATCTATCCGCTTCCCTCTCGTTCAGCGTCCGCCATGGTGTCACCGAGGTTCTGCTAATTGGACGGCGGAAATTCGCAGTCAGGTCGAGTACTGACGCGCGAAATGGACGCGTGATTGCGACTCACCGGTGTAACTTTGGCTCACGTATTCTCAACATATCGAGGACGATATGTATATTTAAAAGGTAGATCTTACTGGTAAATATTATTGTAAAAAAAAAACTATTTTTTTTATTAAGCTTCTTATAAACGTATTCATAAAAATTAAAGAAACATTTTTTACCGTAATGACACTGTTTAATTTCTTGAATATCGTCTTGAATATAATGGCCTGCAAAGATGGTAATTGTTAATCGTTTTCGAAATCAGCTCGAACCGATACACCCTTTTTGAGAAATTTTTAAATAAAATATTATATGTTTGAAAAATATTTAGCAATTTGGTTCACATAAAAAAGTATATATAGGTGTTGCACCTGCAAATATGGAGGAACATATTTAATAAGAGATAGTAATAAAGATACTTTCGTAAATACATTCGAACAGCGAACAACAACATCGATAGCCATATTAAATTATATAAAAATTTAATCGTCAGAATTTCGAATGGCACGGAATATAATTCGTCGAAATAAAAAAAAAGGAGGAGAGGGGGGGATTATTAAAATTCTCACTCTAATTGAAACGTGCTACATTTTCCCTTTTTTTAATATTTTAAACTTTTCCACAAAATCGACACTTCTCCTTCCACAACTAATTACCTCAATCAACATTCTTCGTAACAACTCTTCAGATATCTCGTCTCGGGTAAAAAGTCGTTCAAACTTCCTTCGATGATCCCTCCATCGAAGATGCTCCAAATTTCAACATCTTCCACGATCGAAAGCCTCCTTGTTATCCAACAAGGCCTCCCCCTTAGAGAATCCCCAATTAAAACCCTCCTTTCACCTTATCTCTCGCGCATCTCTCCGTTGCGCGAGCAAGCCTTTCGCCGAAGTTTCGTCCCACGTTGAGGTTCGAGGAAAAGAAAAAACGACAAAATTCCACGTCCAATCCGAAATTCTTCCGCGTCGATGCCGAAAATACGAAGTGTATACACATTAGCCGATGAAATTAACGAGGCATCGTGCGCCCGACCACCGCAAAAAAGTTATTCGATACACGATACGCACACGGTACTGCATACATCTCCGCTATCTCGGTCGAGGGACGTGGGACGTCGAAAGTCAAGGGACGGAGATGCGCGCGACGATCGGCGCTTTTTATCGTGTCCAGAGGGCCCGAGCGAAGAATTTGCATAAGCGCGTCGCGCTCCGCGACGTTTTACCCCCGTGAAACGCGATATGCCTCGTATGCGAAGGGATTGCTGACAATGTGTGCGCTCCAGGTATTTAATCCGTATATAACCGCGCCCATACCAACGGATTTTAACGAATATCCTTCCCCATATATTATATATATTATATCATATTCGTGCTAACTATACTATTTTCGAGTTTCGTATAAAATTTTCTCTACTCCAATTGTCCAAATAATCCAAATTTTAAATATATACGAAATATTAAAACGAAACAAAAAAAAAAATAGATTGGAACAATTTAGATATAAGAAAAAGATAGTTAAGATACAAGAAAAGATTCCCTTTAAATCCTCTTATCGCCGGTTACATAAAAAAGAAAAATGAACTTCAAACCGATGACTGATATTGGACATTTTTTTTTTTTTCACAGCGTTAATCCTGGATCGTCGATCGATC